CCCCAAAACCCCAAAACCCCAAAACCCCTTATGATAATATTGAGAGTAAATATTGTTTGATTTAAAATCCTCTAAATTATAATACTGCATATGACATATTATTAGTTATATTCAATTGAATTGCAGGATATCCCTGGTCTTTCTATTACAATTTGGGCATGTAGGCTTCATTTTCAACCAATTATCTATGCAGCTAAAATATTTTAAAACAATTTATTCTATCTTACTTCTGATGGAAGCCATGCTTGCACTCAGGCATTTTTCTTATCTTTTGTTTATTTTGAATCTCATCACAGCAGATGGAACATATCTCATTTTCTTTCTGCTCTGTTATTGAAGCCCTATGTAACTTGATCTTCTTTAGATCTCTGTCATTTAGAGGCCTCATTGAGGGGTCCATTCTATCTTAGTCAAGATTATTAAGCAGATTTTCATTCAGGAAGTTGTTGATAAGTTAATCATTGTTTTACTCGTCATTAAAACTCTAGAATACGACCTTGAACCTTGTATTCTTAAGCTAAATTACAAAGTATTAGAGGATTCAAACTAATTTACTCCTTCAATTCCAAATGAGCAAATTATGATTAGATATATGAAAATAAGGAAGTAGGAGAGACTCAAGGAAAATATTAGCAACCACGGATTAGCAGAGTCTGGGAACTTATTATATAATGTAAACATAATAATATGTCCTTACACAGGTTGATTCATTTTTCATCATATCACTATACCATCCAGTTCCTAGGAAAGTCCACAAAGTGTGAAACGGTAGAATGATAAACAATATAGCAATTGCTGAGCATTTCATGAATCTAGCATTCAGTTCAAAGAAAAAGAAAAAGCTCCTGATTAGTAAAATGTCTAAGTAGCTTATCATCAGCCACTGCTTTACAGGAGTATCACACTAACTTGAATTAATTATATCATTAAGATCTTTTACATTGAGGACCAAGATTTTCCAAGGGTTATTGTAAGGTAAAGTAATCCTCCAACCAGAATCAAATCAAAACTAAACACGATTTAATTATAATATTCCTTTAATTATTCTACCATGAAATTTTGAGAGAATTGGCCATTATTTTTGACTATCTTTTCTGATAATTTATTTTTATTAATTTCCAATTTCTATCTAAATATTTTCCAAATGGGGTTTTGGGGTTTTGGGGTTTTGGGG